GTTTGGCACTCTACCACTGAATACTTACACATTCTCAAAGAGATATATGCCTTTCTATGCCTGCTGTGGAAATACTGAAAGCAGAGGTGAACACTTGGTTAGAATTAAGCAAGTGTATCAGACATGGGCATTGCTTAAAGAAAGGTTGGAAATTCTGCTTCTAAAGAGTGAACTTTGGGTCATATGGATTGTTTTCCACCTAAAAAGTATTAAATATGAAAAACAATCATATATCTGCAGCATTTAACAAATTTTACTAAAAAAAATCTATTGGAAACCACAAGTAGCCACTACAAGTATGCAACAAATACAATTTACTTCTACAGTTAAGATTACAAAACAAAACCACCACCATATACACATACATAAATAAAACATGCATTCAAGGATACACACAGAATATATGGCCTTGTATCTAATGGCAATCCCTTCTCCAAAAACTCAAATACAAACACATAGGCGCACGCACTGATGCAGTACAAAACATATATCCAAAAATTCAAAATAAATTTCTTAAAATATCACAATAACAATAATATTTGAAATAAATCAACAAAAAATTGAAATAAATTAAATATAAAATAAATAAATAAACTTACCAGTTGTGAAGGATGGCGGCTTCGGGGATGGTTGTGGCGTTTGGCGTCGGTACGTAGAGGTCGCGAGTGAGGCAGCGTCGGTGGAGGAAAGGCAGCGGTGGCGTCGGATGGCAGCTACGGCGGAGGAAGGGCGTCGGTGTCGGCTGTGGTTTCAGATCTATTGGTGGCGGGCGGAAATGGCTAAGGTCTCAGATTTGAAGAGAGGCTGCCAGCAGATCTATAAATTTGGCTGAAGAAAGGAGGAACGTCGTCTGTTTGAGGTGATGCTTGCCGGCTATAAGCTTGAATCTCCGATGAAGGAATAAGTCGTAAGGACTAAGGAGGGAGGAGGTTTAGGGAGAAGGCGCCACTTAGTGAAAATTTTGAGGCCAAAATTTGGGTATGGCGCCATCTTAGGGATATATTTTTTATTTTATGAAGATATTACTTTTTAATAGTGACAAATGATAAAAATCTTTCTTGTAAAATATTTTTACTTTTCTGACGTTTTATGTTAAAATTAAATTTTAAAATAAAACATTTAGGGACGTTTATTATAAAACTTTATTGATTCTATATCTTTACTGACCAAAAAATTATATTTCGTCAGCAAATATTACAAAAAAAAAATTTATTGTCTGTACCAAAATATATAGTGACGTTATTTAATATAACATCGTAAATAATAACAGAAGGCGGTTATATAAAAATCGATGTGTATTAAGTGACATAGTATATAATAGAAGACGGTTATTTAGAAAACCGTTATCTATTATGTGCCGTAGTATAACAACATATAACATAAGTCGGTTATTTAAAAAACCGTCTTCTATTAAATGACGTAGTATATCATTTATGTAGTAGTATATCATTATATTTGGACAAAAAAAATTTAATTACATTTTTATTTTTGTTCTAGATCTTCTAAACATCTATTTTCATCTCGTAACAAAAACAATGAAGGTCCAAATTATAGGTAAAAGATAGGGTGTAACACTTTAGTAATCAAAAGTAAGTGTGCCTTCGTGGGTTTAGCTTTGTTTGATATGTTAGAGGTTTTGGGTTTTATCTTTCTTGGTGGCATTTTAACCTATATTTTATACAATCGTTGTCTTGGTTCTCAGAGACAACACAGAACCAAACTCGTTATATCTTAAATGTTGCACTTAAATAAATAAGGGTTGGTGTGGCTTGGTGGGTTTAGCTTTGTTTGTTATGTTAAATTATGTTAAAAGTCTTGTGTTTAATTCTTCCTAGAGGCATCTTTAACTTACTTTATAAAATTGTTGTCTTGGTTTACACAGAAGCAACCCAGTTATATATCAGATGTTGCACTTTAGTACATAAAAGTTTGTGTTGCTTAGTTGGTTAAACCTTATTTGTTATGTTTGAGGTCATAGGTTCAACTCTTGTTGTTAACATCCTTGTTTTCATTTTATAAAATAATGATGCGCAAAGACAACGGTTTTTTATAACCGTTGTCTTTGTAGTGTTGTGTATTCAAATACGCTTAAAGACAACATACCAATAACAACGGTTAAATAAAACCGTTGTCTTAAACAAATAAAGAACGCGCAACGACAACGGTTATCATTGTAGTGTCGTGTATTCAAGTGCTATTAAAGACAACACATAAATGATAACGGTTAAATAAAACCGTTGTCTTTTATAAAATAATAATCCGCAAAGACAACGGTTTTAAAAAACCGTTGTCTTTGTAGTGTTGTGTATTCTAGTGCGCTTAAAGACAACACACCAACGACAACGGTTAAATAAAACCGTTGTCTTTAAAAAAAAAAAAAAAGAACGCACAAAGACAACGGTTTTAAAAACCGTTGTCTTTCTAGTGTTGTGTATTCTAGTGAGCTTAAAGACAACACACCAACGACAACGGTTAAAAAAACCGTTGTCTTTTTAAAAAAAAAAAACGCACATAGACAACGGTTTTAAAAAACCGTTGTTGTTGTGGTGTTGTCTTTTCACAAAATGCACAAAGACAACACACTTATAACAACGGTTAAGTAAAAACCGTTGTCTTTGACAAAAGTGCTGCATCAAAGACAACGGTTTTGGACCAAACTGTTGTCTTTTATACAAAAGACAACACTTTTCTTAAAAACTGTTATCTTTCTAGTGTTGTCTATGTGCATTTTTCTTGTAGTGTGTATGTGCGCAGTGCAAGGAGGTGGCGTGGCACGCCAGAATAGATTGCCGGGAGTTTCAGTTGCTGAATGAGGACGAGAGGGGAAAGAAGACGTGATGTTAATGGAGTTGACTAAGGATAAACAATGGAGGCGATGCCCACGTTGCAGGTTTTACGTTGAAAAGAATGATGGTTGTAATCACATTTCTTGCAAGTATATGTATAGAAGGTCTGACTTCCATGAAAATCATGTCTTAAATGAGAATATATGAATTACTCCATGAATGCATCGTAACTACTTTATCAATACACCACAATTATTTTAGGCAATCTTTAAAGAAGCTAGCTAGTACGTAATTGCTGTGCATTCATTTAGTTCAACATTCTGACGTAATTATGACATGTTCTCATATAAATTAGATTTTATATATATATAGAGCAAATTAGCAAAATATACTCCTGATTCTGATCACGATTGCCCATAGACCTACTCAAGGCTCATTTGGATTGCAAAACGAATTAAATTATTAATGCTTTTGAAGACCATTACTACTAGGTCAGATGTTATTTCACCAGAATTTCTACAATTATTATATTAGTAATGTGTACTAATAATACAATTCAGTTTTTTAAAGGAAAATTTTTATATCTAGTTATTGAATTATAAATTTATTAATTGGTAAACTTACTAAAACATCAACTCGTGCCTTCAAACAACCCTATATACAAACCGAGCTTGACGTTGAATATTAGGTGACGGTAAATATGTTACCAGAAATATATTATTAGGATAACGGTTTTGTGAAAGAGTGACAATAGTTGTATTGCCTTAGTGTCTTAGTATAGAAAATAGTCAACGTCCCCTCCAAGCTGAGGGGAGTCCCGACTTATACAAAAGCTGCTAACGGTAACAACATGAGGCATAAATGGGGAGCTAAGCCTTTAATTCTCTCTCATCAATGGTGACATTAATGATGGCTTCAATGGTGACTTCAATAGCAGTAAAGGTGACAGTCGTTGCAATTCTGCCCGTTGGAGTTTTGCCTGTTGGCCATCATTAATGTCACCATTGATGAGAGAGAATTAAAGGCTTAGTTCCCCATTTATGCCTCATATCGTTACCGTTAGCGGCTTTTGTATAAGTAGGGACTCCCCTCAGCTTGGAGGGGGACGTTGACTATTTTCTATACTAAGACACTAAGGCAATACAACTATTGTCACTCTTTCACACAGCTTTATTCTAATATTACTGTTACCGGTAACATATTTACCGTCATTAGGTTTAGAATAAAGGTCAAATATGCAATCAAACTACAAGTAAAATTGCAATATAATAGAACCACACAACTCAAATAAATTGTAATTAGATTCCAAAATAATGCAAATTCATGCAATTGAGCTTAAAATAACATATTTATCCGGTATTTGTTGATGTGGTGATTACATTATTAAAAAAAATAATTTTTAAATTCATTTTAATATTTGTAAATAAAATTTAAAAAAAAAAAAACTAAAAAAAGAAAAAAACTAAAACCCTTCCTCGCCTTTCCCGGGAGATTGAAAGACCATTTCTACGTACGTCTCCAATGGGGGATGAAGACCTCTTCTTCGTCTCCAATGTAGACAAAGGCAGGAGAAGAGTGAAATTGTTTTATTTAAAATTATTAAAATAAATTTAAAAATTAAATTTTTAATAACGTAATTAGCGCATCAACAAATTCAAATATAATAATAGAACCATGAACCTATGGCAAGATTTGTTCGTTGGATAATTCTTGGGCAAATTATGCTATGGACCCGTATCCATCATGTGCATGGCGGACACACTGTATATTCATAATTTCTATATTGTAAATTCATAATTTCTATACTGTAGATTCATAATTTCTAAACTGTAGATTCATAATTTCTGTACTGTAGATTCATAATTTCTAAACTGTATAATTATCAAATTATGAACACATAGTTATCAAAATATGAATCTGCAGTACAGAAATTATGAATTTGTAGTATAGAAATTATGAATCTACATTATAAATTTTATAAATCTACATTATAAAAATTATGAATCTACACTATAAAAATTATGAATGTACAACGTGTCCGTCATGCATATGGTGGACACAGATCTAGGGCATAACGCTCCTAATTCTTGGTATTTATCCTAAATATTTATTTATTTATTTTGGATAAATACCAAGGAGTTTGAAATGAAGTAGGAGTCTCATTTTCTCCCTCCACTATATTAAATAGAGGCTTCATTATACATTGTAGTATGGAATCCGGATCCCCTTCAATTCGATACAACTTTTGAAATGTCTATTGAGGAATTAGAGAATGTTTTTACCTGCATTTTAGACTATATTATAAACATGATGCCATGTTTTCCTATTTCATATGAGAAATGTGCAACAGAGGAAAGGGAAATGGGAGCGTCAGGCGCAAAAACACAAACACCTAGGAGGCATGCCGGAGAGTTGTGCGAAATCTGCATGGACACCAAGACGGAAAACGAGATGTTCAGAAGATGCGATTCATGCACACATTCATACTGCTCCGCCTGCATCGGCAGGCATGTCGCCGCTAAGATTCAGGAAAACGTGAGTGGTGGCGTTAAGTGCCCCGACGTCTCCTGCAAGGGAATCATCGAACCGCAACACTGTCGTTCGATCATTCCCAGGCAAGTGTTGGATCGCTGGGAGAGTGCGGTGTGCGAATCGATGATACTTGCTTCGCAGAAGTTTTACTGTCCTTACAAGGATTGCTCGGCGATGATGGTGGATGATGGGGGCGAGACGGTGACGGCTTCCGAGTGTCCCAACTGCCGGAGATTGTTCTGTGCGCAGTGCAAGGTGGCGTGGCACGCCGGAAAGGATTGCCGGGAGTTTCAGTCGCTGAATATTGAGGACTCCGAGAGGGGGATAGAAGATGTGATGTTAATGGAGTTAGCTGAGGAAAATCAATGGAGGCGATGCCCACGTTGCAGCATTTACGTTGAAAGGAGAGATGGTTGTCTGCACATTTCTTGCAGGTACATACATATCTTTAATTTTCTCCGGAAAAATACTGTGTATTCTTATTTTGTATTTTAATCAACTACATATATTTATGCTAGTTTGGCCTAAATTATATTATATTGCAAATCTCAACATTTGAATTTGTAGGTGCGGGCAGGAATTTTGTTATCGGTGTGGAGCAATTTATTCTTTAGTCCATGTTTGCCCATCCACTTGATCAATACTCATTTGGATTCTAAAAAGAATATTTTTTTAAAAAAATTTATATGTTCTTGTAGATCATTACTAATGTAATAAGAAAATAATTGTTATTTGAATAATGTAGTATATGTTCGTACCTGCTTTTTCAACATAATGAAGCACAAAGAGTCAATTCTAGATCACCACAAGGTTATTGGCGGTTGTTTATGAAGGGTTTGATAAGTGTACGAATAATACAATTCATGCTTTTAAAGGAAAAATTGCATGTTTAGTTTTGAATTGTAAATTAAGTTTATCTTTTTTAGTTTTTACAAGTTTAAATTTGGTTATCTAAGTGTTAAATTAGTTCTTTCAAAAAAAGTGTTAAATTAGTTATCTCTTTAATTTGTGCTTATGGTACTAAATGCAATTTTTAAAGACATGTTTAAAGTGTTATGTTTCACAGGGAAGACTCTCTTTAACTCATCAAAAAATGAATTAATTAATGATTTGCTGGTTACATAGTAACACTATGTTAATGCTATGAATTCAGTTAGTAGTGCGATGCACAGACTAAAGATTCTACGTATTGAAATTATGATATATCAAAAAGTATTAATGTTATTAAGTTTCACATGGTGGACTTGAGTCCGAATACATAATAGTCGTCTGAGTAAAGGCAATAGATGCTAGAGTATGAGCTAAATAATTATCTAATCTAGGGACATACCGAATTAAACAGTACTCAAAAACCAATATACTAGTCCTGCAGCTATCAATGATATAGCCCAAGTAAGACCGTGGTGATCGAGTCGTAGATGATAGATATTGTTGTAATACTAAACAATCCGTGAAGAATAACATGACAAAATTATATGGGCATTTACAATTAAAATAAGAATTGATATTTAATATTGTCGATTAGTTAAAATAACACTTTTTTGAAAGTTTTTTTTGAAGGTCACTTTTTTGAAAGTTTAATACAAAATATTTAAAATTACAAATTATTAAAACATTGATTTGGACTTTGCTTCAAGGAGGTACCTATGTACCTTGAACCATCCGCACATTTTGAGCTCCACAACTGCATTCGAAATTTTACAAACAAACAAAAAAAAATTAAAAATCAGTTCAATCATCAAAAAGCCAAAATCAACAGAGTAAGATGCTGAAAATCCACACAGCCATTAAATGTAAATTTGGTAAACCATGTAATACTTATATAAGAGATGATTTCCAAGTATATATGAATAGCAATATATTCAGCAATATGGCTAAGAAGAAATCCTCAAATGCTTGTCCACTCAATGAGATAGTTAGCAACAACCTTTGTGTATACACATAAAGAAGAAAGCTAGAATATAATTTTCATATATTACATTGTTATGTCAAAGACATTTTTCTTGGGGTTACGGAAGGGAGGAAGGTAAAAGGAATAGTAGGTCTTGATAATTCAATGCAAAGATTGATAATTAAGTGTGAGAGAAGTTGTTCTTGGTGTGTGCAACCTTTGTAAGATTTAACAACCGAAGTTCAACTTAATATGTTATGGTTCCGTTCCTACCTGGAAATTCAATGCTGCCAATTTATAACAGTAACATTCAACTCACCCAAGTTCAACTTAATAATATGTTAATATGCTGACCTTCTCCATATCAAAATTCTACCAATTAACGAAAAAAATGAAATCAAATATCACCCACATCCAAGGCAATCAAAGTATGCTTGAGCTCAGATTGGTCCATAGCACTATGAGCTTCAAAAATCGTCTCAACACATTCCTTAACATCCTTTGACCGTTCGGTCAAGAAATGGCAAAAAAAAAGAAAAAAGAAGAAGATGAATTCAGAATGTAAAGTAACCTGATTAAGTATGTATAATCAAATGTTTGTATGAATTGGGGAGCCCTAACCACATTTGACACTTATGTAATAGAGGTTAATTTGATTTCTCACCTAAATTGCAAATCTCAACATACATTTTGGAGGTGATGGCATAAATTTTGTTCGGATCGAAAATATTTACGTACAGACTAAACATGTCATTTTAAGTTAAATTACATGAGTTGCGTTGTTTAGGGATTAATAACATATTTTTTGAATTGGATCACTCAATTATAGTTTCCTATTGCCATATTCTTATTCCTTTAGATTTTGGATGTTATTATGGTACTAAATGCAGCTTTTAGGACATGTTTAAAGTGGTTATATTTCAGAGGGAGGACTCTTGAGATCACCAAAAAAAAATGCATTAATGAATTCCTGGGAACTAGTAACAATATGCTAATGAATTCAATATCTGCAAACCAGACTACTATGATCTTTCACATTTTCTTTACCTTATAAAAGGCATACTCGCATATGGATCGTCCTTAAGAGGTTATGGCTTCCGATTCCGATCCATATGTGGATGACTTCTACTTCTCTGCTCTATACGATGAAGACGAAATCTTTCCCATTTCAGATGAGAAATATGCAGAGGAACTGCAACTGCAAGAGGCTCTAATGTCCTGTGCAGCAAAAACACAAACACCTGGTAGGCAAGCGGAAGCCGGAGAGTCTTCTCAAGCGTTCTGCGAAATCTGCATGGATACGAAGACGGGAGACGAAATGTTCAGAATTGATTCATGCCGGCATTCATACTGCTCGGAGTGCATCGGCGGTCATGTCGCCGCTAAGATTCAGGAGAACGTGAGCGCCGTCAAGTGCCTCGACGTCTCCTGCAAGGGAATCATCGAACCGCAGCACTGCCGTTCGATCATTCCCACTGAAGTGTTGGAACGCTGGGAGACTGCGCTGTGCGAATCGCTGATACTTGCTTCGCAGAAATTTTACTGTCCTTACAAGGATTGCTCGGCGATGATGGTGGATGATGGCAGCGAGACGGTGACGGTTTCCGAGTGTCCGACCTGCCGGAGATTGTTCTGTGCTCAGTGCAAGGTGGCGTGGCACGCTGGAATAGATTGCCGGGAGTTTCAGTTGCTGAATGAAGACGAGAGGGGGAGAGAAGACGTGATGTTAATGGAGTTGGCTAAGGATAAACAATGGAGGCGATGCCCTTGTTGCAGGTTTTATGTTGAAAAGAATGCTGGTTGTCTGCACATTTCTTGCAGGTACATATCTTTTTTTTTTTGAAAGTTACATATCTTTTGTGTTATAATTAACACTTAATATCACAGGTTTGAGTCACATTTTAATCAAAGGTTAACATATCATATTGATAAGATGTTATTGATATATTGCCTGTACATACTTAGTTTAATAGTTCAATAAATTATATTGGTGAAAGAGACCAATATTCGAATCTCGGCACTAATAGTATTGGGATTATATCCAAAGTAGATAAATCTCTTGTGCACACTGGGAGCAGCATTTGACTCTGTTTGTTGAGCCATTGAATTATTGTGATTTACATCTTCTCAAATGTTTTCTTGGTCTGAAATTGTGGATTCAATCTTTTGGGAAAAGATACTATGGATATGTTATATTGTAGAAAATTGAGTAGAATTTTGATTTATTGGTTTTTTATAACAATAACAATTTTGATTTATTGGTTAAATTGCAAATCTGAATGTTTTGTAGGTGTGGGCAGGAATTTTGTTACGGGTGTGGAGCAAAATATTCTAGTGACCATGTTTGCCCACGGCCATGATCAAGATTCATTTGTATTGCAAAAAGAATATTAATTAACTTTTTATGGAAAAAAATTGTCAAGTAAAATGTACGTGAAGATCATTACTAAATGTTATTTCACAGCAATTTCTATAATTATTATTGACAATGTGTAACGAGAAAACAATATTTGAATCTACATTAGTTTTATATATGATGTTATATATGTGTCACGGAATGTATGCCATTTTACCACAAATTTTTAAAAGTCTAATACTCATTAAGCCATGAGTCACAGTGTGTTGGTGTTTAGTTTTATACTTGTTTACCATTTGTAACTTCAAACAACGTTTTTTGTGTTTTAATTCATCATCATATTTATACCACTTGTAATCCATTTTGTTGTAAAATTTGTGATCTTACTTGAGTATGAATGATGTCTATGGTATCCACTAGTGTTTAAGCGAGTATGAATGATACTATAGCCATAACCAACCTAAGTTCGTTCAGCCTAAGTGAGAAATGAAACTATTATCTTTAAAAAAAATAATTATTGAACGTTTTTATACATTATAGGAGTCGTGCTTCAAAGTGAAATTTTTCTAAGATCCATTGCTCGATTTTGCTGCATGCCTGTTCCCAAAATGCAGAGAGACTTGCGAAGGCAGATCCGGGTTGGTTGGTTCGGAAAGTCATGGGAGAGGCAGGCTAAGTGAAATCAGATACTGATGCTATTATAGAATCTTATGAATCAAGCACGACACAGTTTCTATATCTCCTCCGTCTACAAGGTAAACAGCTTGGCTTAGAGCACAGCCTGTTCACCACCACACTGGCTGGCTGGCGCATTGGCCCTACAATAAGAAGCCCAAGAGGTATTTCGATATACAGTGGACCATGGTCCATACAGTATTGTGTGAACCATGATCGTTGAATGAAATTAAATTATAGTAGAATTGAAATGATACTTTAGTATTGCTATAATGAAACTAGTGTATTGTGTGTGAAGAATGAAACTTAAAAAATAGAGCGTGCTATTGTCAAATTAAATTGTATTATAATTGAAATGATATTTTAGTTTTTTCTATAATGAAACTAGTGTGCATGAAAAATGAAACTAAAATTCAAAGCTATACAGTAACATATATTGTCAAATGAACATGAATTGTAATTAAAATAAAATTTCAACATTACTATAATTAAACTAATGAGAAAATTACAATTTTGGTCATGTGACTATTGTTGTCTTGTTAATTTGAGTATTTGACTTTAAAAACTATCAATTTAGTCCTGTAACTATGCAATAATTAACACATTTGGTCCTCACGACCAAATGTTGCTCTTCTTCTCCTTCTTTGCCTCGTCGGAATCGTCGAATTGGTCTGCCTCGAAGGACGAAACGCACGGCTTGATCCCGCCGGTGCCCAACGCTATCTGGTATAAAACCCCTCTCTGGAGGCTCGTCGGGTGGCAAGTGTTTCCGGCAGCGTCGGAGACCGGCTTTAGCCCGTGTACGGATGCTGACAACGTTAACATCGTCATCCCCTGCAAAAACATTAGTTAACAACTGATCCATTTTGTCTCAAGATTTTTAAATTATTATCACATTTAGTTATTTTGATCTAATTTTCGATACTTCAGGCAAAATTATCATATTTCATACAGTAATTCTTCAAGCAAGTTGATTATTGATTTTGATTTTCCAGTGGGTTGCCTGGGTTTTGTTTTCCCGCAGGCGCAGAAGGGAGAAGAAGAACATTTGGCTTAAAATGACTACTTTGCCCCATGAATAAAGAATTTTAAAGAAATTACGTTTTTCCGGTAACATTTGACCGGCGATTTGACTGGGAGGACCAAATGTGTTGACAATTGCATAGTTACAGGACTAAATTGATAGTTTTTAAAGTCAAATTAACAAGACCACAATAGAGCTTTTGTAATAATGTATATTGTCAAATGAAACTATAGTAAAATTAAAATGATACTTTGGTATTGCTATAGTGAAACTAGTGCATGTGTGTGAAAAATAAAACTAAAAAAAATAGTTAGTTTTGTGTGTGTGTGAAAAATGTTATTAGTTTTTTTTGTTCTTTGTTTAGAAGTTGAGTGTCACTTCCAGAATTACAAAAAGTATAGTAAATTAATTTCTTTGAGGAAAATTCTTTAATGTTATTAGGGTTTAAGATTTTGTCATTGGCAATTAAGAAATAAGTGGCATTGGTGGGGTAGTTAATTAGTGTAATAATTAAGGTTTTCAAGTTTGAATCTCGGTGAGAATTATCTATTAGAATTTTTTATTTAAGGTTTTGTTTGGCAAATCTAGCTGAAAAGCTGAAAACTTAAGAGCTGTTAAGCTAGTTGTTATGGTTGAAAGTGTTTGATAAAATTAGCTTTTTCATAAGTTGATAAATGTAAAAAGACTAAAAATGACATCTTCAAAAAATTTAAAATAGTTTGTTTACATATTAAAATTTAACTATTAGTATAATCACGATCTAGCATCCATAACATCTTCATCATATTCATCATATATATTAAATAATCAATCTTAAAAGAATAATAATAATAATAAACGATAAAGGTGTGGATAAAGGATTTGTCATTTCTTTAAAAATGTTTAATAATAATAATAATAATAGATTTGTCGCAAAAATTGCAAATAAAGATAAATGAGAAGTAAAGGATTTTTAATTGGGAATGGTAAATGATGTTATTTCTTTAAAATAATAAGGATAAAAATGGAAAAAAAAATTGGAAGCTCCTAACTTATTTTGAAACGCTACTTATTAGTAACTTAAAATAAGTTATAAGCTCCTAAATAAACTCTGCCAAACAGAAGCTAAGTCAACGGGATATACGCAACCTAAGTTCATTGAGTTTTTTCATAAATGTAAGGAATTAAGAAATGAAATTAATATCTCTTATATCTCTATAAATATATCCATTCATGTACTTTTTAGACACGATTAATCAATAATAAAACTCTCTAGAAATTCTTATTCTAATCGAGTAAACCATGAATAAAACTTAGCAATATGTCATTACTACCCAGTTGATAATAAAATGATCACTATTACAACGATCGTGTAATGCAATCGTTCCACAAATAATGTCACTATTACAACGATCATGCAATGTTTACTATATCTAAAATAATAAATTAGATAATGTGTTAGTCTTGATAGAATTCAAATGGCCAATTATAATTTCTATAATTATGAATATTTTACAATATTAATTAACTAATTAATTCTTTGTCACTCATATTTTAATTTTATAAGGTGCAAGGAATATTCGCAACCATTACTTGAGAGTATGCACGGAATAAACTCTATTTTTTGTCACTCATATTTTAACTCTTAAGAATGAGAAATTGCTAACCATTTGTATGGACTAAATTTATAATATATCAACTCAAAATAATATAATAAATAAATAGCATTTATTATATTATTTGAATTAAATAAAATATACTTAAAATATACTATATAGTAACTCTTAGAACATATACATCCAATAGACCCTTGTTTTCCAAAACCGGATGAGCCACTTGTACAACAAAACAATATTCCAAAGACGAAGATGGTTTGATTTTCGAATGATTATATACATAAACATATAAAGTAGGAGTGTTCACAAATTCATCAAATATACTCTGTTGTGAATCCATCTAGTGAAAATCATCCACTAACGAACTAATGTGAATTTGATTTTTCAAAATTCGCTATATCTCATCTGCTTCGCTGATCTACTATAATGAAGCTTTATTGATTAACTTGTTTGAATTGTTAAATTGAATCATGTAGCTCACGTGTTAGTACGGACAACTGGTTCTTCTTCTGTCCTGGGATCGTGATTGTGTGTGCCACCGGCCTATATTTCTCATTTGATTGATTATTAATGCATTCAGTTATTACCTTAAAAAAAAAAAAAAAAAAAAACTTGTTTGAGTTGTTAAATTGAATATTTGTAATTTTTTGATGAAATGTTTGAAAATTTATTGTCATTTTGATTTTTGATTGTTTTCATAGTTTTTTTGATAGTAAAAACCAATGGAATTAATCAAAGCAAAGCTGCAACACAAGGTGGTGGTATAGCCTCCCACACGGCGAGACCAGTGTGTGAACATGTCGCTCGAGCTAACACATGAGCCACTCGGTTCGCATTCCTAATGGATATAAATGAAAATTTTCAAATTCTCTGAAGAATTGAATTTAAAGTGTCATCCCGCATCATTTTCAAATCAACAGATACGAGCACAAAGTATATTTTGCGTCTAAAATGGAAAGATAATTTCATATACGGGGCTAATAGGTAACGGTGAAACACTAAACTAAGAGCCAAGAGTGGTTTATGTGGTTGGCCATACGAAAGACCAAACATCATGGCAAACCTAAATTTATTAACATTATATAGTTCCATGTTGCCATTATTTAATTTCTTGTGCATTGCATCTTCAACAACTTGTTGGCCCTCTTTATTCTTTTCACCAATTTGGACACAAATCAATGGCATAAAGAAATATTATAGTATTAATTTTACAATACAAACCACGCACGATAATCCTTAACTCGATCAATCAATATTAAAAGACAAAATTATTCGTACAATACATCTAGAAAAACACTAATTACCAACCTAGTTGATTATTAAATACCAATATTATTATTCAAGCTGTTATATCCACTTGTCGGCCACTTACTTCGAGAATAGTGACCTTGTTGTAGGGCTGGGGTCAGATTTTTCTTAACTGGTTATACCTATTATTCTTTATTTTTGTATAAAACATTCTTTTTTATATAATAATTTTAAATTACTCCTATAAATATTGATATTGTGAACATTTTTGTTATATCAAATCTACTTGACTAAATAATAATAATAATAATAATAATAATAATAATAATAATAATAATTATTATTATTATTATTATTATTATTATTATTATTATTATTATTATTATTATTATTATTATTATTATATTGGCATTGTTATATCCATTTGCCCACTTGTATTCTAAAGTAGAGACCCTAATAATAATAATATTACCCTAGGGTCACTTTTCTTTA